TGGTTTTACTAGTAGTTTACGGTGCCGCCTCGCTCACCGTGAACCACGAGACGATTGCGGGGCGGGTCCGTTGATGAAAATAACATTTATTCGTTTCGTAAATGTGCTTTGTCGTTCGATGGCTGGCTGGCTTCCTCGATGGCTAGCTGGTGGAGAGAGCGCGCATGTACGATACATCTACTAACAGATTTAAGGGCACGGTTGCTTACCTAATAGTGAAGAAAACACTTGTGGATAATAATTACTAGCAATAATGATCGTGTCGCGATGTAATTGAGACGTTGTACTGAAGAGTTCAGCAAATTTCGGCGCTTGTTAACGTCCACCGACGACACGTCCACATGTCCCAAATATGGTTTCCTGTAAATTATATATTTTGGCCCCCACGTCGGTACACGTTTAAGAACACCAGATGGCCAAAGTGTCTGAAGCCCTCCACTAGGCGTCTCTAGCAATCATATGTTGTTTGCGTACGTAAAACTCTATGTATTGTCACAATCAATAGCCGGCAGCACAACAGGAAAGATCGAAGCGAGCAGGAGCTTCTCGCGTTTTCCCGACGAAGACGACGTGAATGCTCTCGCTGTTGCGTTTCCCGTGCGTAAATACAGCATTCTATATATGCTCGTCACAACGAAGTCTTGTGTTCTTTCTTCGTAGCGACAATATGGTATACTGTCTTTATCGTATTACCCTCCCCATGCCCTTTTTAGCAGTTACTTTTTAACACGAATGTGTTCTATGCCGGGTTCACGGCTTCTCTGACGTATTTCCCTCAGGCCATAGGACAAATCACTCCGGGGTACCACGCGGCGATATTGGCCCGCCACAAAGCGTGCGTTGTACGGCTTGCTAACGGATTTATGTATTTTATGCATGGATTGTCGACGATTCCAGCGTTGTCGCTAGAGGCCGCACTCTAGCTCCAGAACTATCATGTTTGCATTAAGCATGTAATCTGATTGGAAGGTTCCAACATCTAGATCATTAGCAGTAACTCCGACACCGCCTATCGGCCAGTGTCGGAGCCAGCATGGCGGTCGCCTGCACTTCGAGCGGCTTCTTCGGCACCGAACCACATTCCTGGTTCCTGGACACGCGAACAGCATCGGCCGAGAACCATGATCATGTCTGAGCCGAAGTGACCTTTCGTAGGACACAACCCCACGGCTTGCACCGTGGTTTTACTAGTAGTTTACGGTGCCACCTCGCTAACCGTGGACCACGAGAAGATAGCGGGGTGGGTCCGTTGTTGAAAATAACATTTATTCGTTTCGTAAATGTGCTTTGTCATACGATGGCGCGCTGGCTTTCTCGATGGCTTGCTGGAGGATAAAGTGCGCATGTACGATACATCTACCAACGGATTTCAAGGGCAGGGTTGCTTACGTAATAGGGAAGAAAACATCAGTGAATAATATTTACTTGTAATGATCGTGCCGCGACGTGATTGAGACGCTGAACTGAAGGGTTCAGCAAATTTCGGTGGTCGTTCGTTAACGCCCACCGACATTACTTGCACAGTAAACATCCCAAATATTGTTCCCTGTAAATTTATATATTTTGACCCCCACTCTGCTATGCCGGTACACTCTAAAGAACACCAGGTGCACCAATGTTTCTGAAGCATTCCACTAGGCGTCTCTCGCAATCATATTGTGGTTTGCGGACGTAAAACGCTACGTATTGTCACAATCAATAGCCGGCAGCACAACAGAAAAGATCGAAGTGAGCAGCACGAACGGCAGCTTCTCGCTTTTCCCGAAGAAGACGACGTGAATGCCCTCGCTTTTGCGTTTCGCGTTCGTAAATACAGCATCTATTCTCGTCACAACGAAGTCTTGTCTTGTGTTCTTTCTTCGTAGCGACAATATTGTATACTGTCTTTATCGTATTACCCTCCACATGCCCTTTTTAGCAATTACTTTTTAACACGAATGTGTTCTATGCCAGGTTCACGGCTTCTCTGACGTATTTCCGTCAGGCCATACGATAACTCTCTCCGGAGCACGCGGTGAGATTAGCCCGCCCGAAAGTGTGCGTTGTACAGTTTGCCAACGGATTTATGTATTTTATGCATGAATTGTCGACGATTGCAGTGTTGTCGCTAGCGGCCGCACTATAGCTTCACAACTATCATGTTTGCGTTAAGCATGTAATCTGATTGGAAGGTTCCAACATCTAGATCATTAGCAGTAACTAGGGTGCGCTTAGCGTAAAGGAACTGGTGCAATGCGATGTGGCGGTGACATGAAAATATAAAGGAGCTGGCGTGGCAATATATATGGGTGCAGACACATAAGCATCAATTTTGGCAGATCTCGCCATGGGAATCGATGTTATGTGGTTTATTCGGAGAGAAGGTGAGAGAGAAGGTTACGCAAGCCCAGATGCCTACCGTTGCGCAATGACGCCAACAGCAACGTGGGTGCTAAGAACTTTTCAAATAGCGTACGCGAACACTATCCGTTGCAGTTGCTGCCACTACGCATACGTCATAACGCTAGCCACCGTTAGCGTTTGTGGTCCACCCGCAAGAAATCCAAAATGGCGTGCGACCCGCAAGGCCCGCAAATCCCCTTTGCGGTGACTCGATCGTGCGTCGGCGCTTGCGGGGGACAAACGTACTTCGAGAACTCGTATGCTGCCCAAGCGCAAACGCAACGCCCACGGTAAGCAGATATATGTAGCGCTTGCGAGGATAGTGTTCACCTGGAACACTGCTAAATAAGCCAGCTTCAGTGGATCCCTCGCCGCGGTGTTCTGTAGTGGATAAGCTGCTCGGCTGCTGACCGCGGTCGCGGCATCGAATCCCGGCTGCGGCGGCTGTATTTTCGATAGAGGTGAAAATGCTGTAGGCCCGTATGCTCAGATTTGGGTGCACGTTAAAGAGCCCCCAGGGTGTCTGAACTTCCGGAGCGCTCCACTACGGCGTCTCTTATAATCTCATGATGGTTTTTGGGAGTTGAATCCACATCAATCATCGTCAATCTGCTTTAATTTTTCTTGGACACTTGGCGTTTCAAGCGTGTAAAAAAAAAAAGAACATGCCAGACCTGCAAGGAACGCGCAGCACAGTCACAGCGAAAGCTGGGGAGTGGTCTTTCAGAGCCTTCTCTAAAAACTCTTTGGGATGCTACAAGGCACTGCTGGTATCCACAGTGCCTTAAATAATCATAAATTTCTGTAGTAGGCCAGCATTCACTATGCTATCCTTCGCCATTCTTTGGAGAATCGTGCGCGGTATTCGCTACACACTTGTTTGAAGTTTAGTGCATCTTTTATGCAGTGGCTGATGACGATGAAGAAATATGCGTGAAGTGGTTATGCACCACAGTTAATAGGTGATCAAGAACAAGTTATTAATGGATGGGAGCGTTGGGCGACCAAGTCGTCACGAAATTCGCATTGTGTGACGCCTCGCTGTTCCTTGATGGTCTAAAACACTTTATTACTCATATTAATGCGACTCGTTTCCAGACATCAAGCCTGCCTAAAACCAGTTTAGAAACAATTTCCAGCGCTGGCGCGCCTCAGTGGTAGAATGCTGGGTTGGCACGCAGCGGACCCGGGTTGGACTCTCATTGTGTCATTGATATTCTTAACTTACCGAGTTTTTTTTTTTGTTCGATACTAATTACGAGTGGCGGCGGCGGCGGACACGGCTCTACGCATGACCCATGTTCTGATCTCGTAACACCTTTCACTATAAAAAGAAAAAAAAACTTACTCAAGGATATGACACACACACAACACACACACACACACACACATATATATATATATATATAATATATATATATATATATATATATAATATATATATATTATATAGATATATATATATATATATATATATATCTTGTGAGACGACGTCAGGTACGAAGGAGCGACCGTTTTATTGTCAACCCAGACGCGCGAGCCAGCAACCGAACAAGCAGCGAGCCGCTACGATGATGATGATCACGGTGCTTTGTATGCGCAGGTGAAAGTGAAAATGATAGCAACACAATCAGCGCTCACAATATATATATATATATATATATATTATATATATATATATAATATATATATATATATATATATATATATATATATATATATATATATATATATCCTACAAAAACATAGAGCCTGCAAAAAATTATTCTTAGCGTCATTGTGCCCCCGGACACCAAAAGAAAATCTATGAATGCAGTCGCATCGTCGCTAAAATATGAGAGAATAAGCGACTGAGCGAAGCATGCCTACTTAAACATCGAAAGCTGAGCCCAGTGTCCGCTTCACACGATTCGCACAGCCAAAATACTACCCAGAGCCAACATCGTCCGCCTCAAAATGTGATCACAGACGTGTTCAGAAGCGTCTTGTTCAATTAGAAGCATGATACGCAACATTACTAGCACTAAATCAACACGAAAGCCACGCACGCTAAACTGCGCCATCCATTTTCTGCCCTGATCAATATGGCTGGGTGTCGGCTTTCAGCCGCGGAGCCTCTCCGCCACTCCAGAAGCTTTAATATACCTCCTTGGCATGTACCAGAGTCTGATAGTAACTGGTGAAAAAAAATGAAAAAAAATGCACTCATTCTATTGTTACGTACGCTGGTTGTCTCTTGGTTATCTGATATCCAATGCTTGAAAAACGTTTGATTAAATCAAATGATCGATGCTTGGCCGATTTTCCGCGTGGGTGCGAGCCATGTTGGAGGCATGATCATCGTCATGATTAGCGCGTGCCAACGCGTCGATGGTCTGCTCACGTTGCCCGTGGTCGCGCACCAGCTCGCGCATTCGTAGCTCGTGATCGGCCCGGGATCTCTGGCATTCGACGAGAGGACCCCGGACTGTTCGTTGGAACCACTGCGTCGGTCTCTTGCTCGGGCTGGTCAGTTCCTGGGCCGAGAATCCTCCTTCGAGGTAAGGCCCCTCGTATCCTGCCATTGTGCGTAAAGTGGGGGCACTGATTTTGTATGAGGTGTGAGTGCGCCACTGGAAATGGGTGAACAAGAGCGAGAAGAGAAGGAGAGAAAAGTGAGCCCGCAACTGTCTGCAGCTAAGTGCGGCACCTCCGTAGTAGCTCACGAGGGAATGGGATTAGCAGGGAATAAAAGGGATAGGTTAAGAAGTGAAGGATGAGAAAAGAAAAAGACATCGCCAGAGGAGTTAGCGGAGGATGGGCCCGATCGGCGAGAGCTGCGCTGGCGTCGAGATAGCGAACGGCTCAGCCGTCCAGCTCAGAATCCACCAAGTAGGGAGCTATGGGTTAACCGACAACCACGTATTCGACGTGTTACTGTGGCAGGGTTGGCGATGGCTGACGTGTTCTTGAATCTATATTTTCAACGGCGCAGCCTTCAGAAAAAAAAAGAACTCAAGCGAGTGGATGGCGATGAGTTGGGCAAAGCTGCAGAGGAGTTTCGGTGGCGCCGTGAATCCTCCGAGAACACCGCCGCTTCCCGCTCTCGCATTCCGGGATCCGCTTCTCGTTAGGCACGTTTCGCAGCGGCGTCCTTCCGGCGCACCATTTAGGGATCCGACACGTACGGTGACGATCAAGGAGAATGACGGAACGGGCACGCCGGCGCAGCCTCATGCAGCTGCCGATCAAAGAGGATGGAAGGGTGGATTGATATGGCTGTACCCTTTAAATGTGGCGGTGGCTAACGCCACCTAGCCATAATACTTAGTGAACCCAAAACTAGACTTATCTTTTTTCCCCTTTAAATAGTGAAGTTGAGGACTGGTACTTTGCAGTGAAGGGTTTAATTTTCACTCGTGCCTTGACTTTAGCCACCAATTAGATAACCTCCTTCTAGTTAATTCTACCCACTTAATGTCTATTTTGCCCTCCCTGTCCCTAAACCCCAGTGCTAGAAGAACTCTGCGCGATCATCCAGGACTACAGGGTGAAGCCCTTTAAAGAACATTATCAAGTGTTCGGTAGTTTCCTCCTCCTCTCCACACCCCGAGTAGTGGCAGCTGTAACGCCATCTAGTGTCGATTCACCCAACCACCATATTGCGTATTTCTATGGGTCAGTGCCATCTAGGAAACTAGACGAGAAATGGCGATGATGACACAGAATGCGTACATCGCCATTTAGTATATCGTCACCCAACTGCGCCATCTATTGTATGATAAGGGAAACGCTACTGTTTACAGCCGGAGAGACGAGGGATTGCCCTGGGTCATAAGGACATATATGAGCAGGGCCGGATTAACAGTACGGAGGATCCATATATGAGCACATATATGAGCGAAAAAAATAATAAAAGCCCACCTATGAGCAAAGTCGGAATAACAGAAGAGATGGCCCGGTTCAATGAAATAAAGGGGCCCCTTTCCCTCGCCCCACCCCTTTTCTTTTCCACGCTTGAGACTTTACTTTTTTTAGCTGCAAAGAACACGAGTCACATTTATTCTAAGCCTCTCCGAAGTGCGTAATGTCGCCTAGGCGTTTTCTTTCTTGCGAAGAACCTAGAGAGATCGCCATCGTGATGATTATTCACATCAGGAGACGAAGACACATGGATCGCATTAAATTTTTATGGTTAGCTGGATCATACTGAAAGAAGACCAAACTGTGCGAGAACTTGAGACGAAAAGAAGGAATGCATATGACACGTGGAAGCGCAGTTCAAGCAACGTGCGTGTTTCTTCCATTCTTCTTAACCTATTGCGTGATTTACACTTATTTCAAGAGAGCACATCTTCCCTCGAAACTCGGAGAGCACCTCTGTGAAACTTAGCTTTCTATATCCTTCCTAGCTTCCTTGAGCGAGCGACTGTATAGAGAGCCTTAATGAAGGCTCTCTAGCGACTATGTCTGCAATAGTGTCCCTGCCCTCCCCCCGTTGTCTAACGCAGGAAACTATGCAACGCCTACACGGACGTGAAGCCATGTTTCGGATGCGCTCACTCCCCCTGGCGACCGCCGACGCCCTGGGTTCGGTGTTCGTCCACCAGACGGTGTACGTGTTCCCGCCTCCGGGACAGCAGTTCGATCCGAACTGCGTGCGCCTGGTGACCCGAGGCCGAGACCCGGCCACCGCGGTCGCATGCATGCTGGGATTCTTCAAACTCGTCTGCGAGGACGGATACAAACAGGTGAGCCTCTTCCATGACGTGTACAACGGTGCAAGGGAGGTCACGGCATTGGGGGTGAGTAGGGGGTTAACTTATCCCCGTACTCAAGAACGCCCATTCACTCACTCACGCACCTTCACTTGAGAAAGCCGATGGGAGCGACATCTTTAGGCAGGGCTAGTCACTGCATATCAGTGATAATTTGCTGCTATTCTTGAGTAGCGCAGCGTCATTTTCAGCCGAGCAGCGGCGCAGTGCTCAACTCTGTCAAGTGAAGGGTGAAAGTCGAGTCGAGGAGCGTTTGTGAATACGGTGGTTGGTCTTTTAGTGTGGCTCTTCAGTTTCACAAGTGACCTTAGTTCGAAGAGCCTTGAGAACAAAACGTGTGTGCCTATAACCAGCGCCAGCTAAGGAAAACAATTCCCTGAAAGACGTGTGTAAAGCACTTTATTGCAGTTACACGTGCAGTTCGCAATCCGTGGATTTTTTCGTTCGAAATAGGTCGTGGAGTTGTGCTATAAATTTCTTTTTTGGAGTGAAGCTCCTTAGGCCCGCCCCTCGCCGTCGCCGAACCTCCCCGCCACGTCACCACTTGCACCCCTCTTTCACCCATGCCCCTCTCCCTCTTCGTATCCACTCTCTCCCCTCAAAGCTGCAAACGCGTGAAACGGTCGCTTCGCCCTGACAGCATGCAAAGTGCGAGGGCTGTAGAGTCCGGCGCGACCAAGCGGCCACCTAGGACCTTTGTAACAATTTAATAAGCACTTAATGAACATTTTGGAACCGTTCAAGGAGCTTCGCACCATCATCACTCACTTCGTAGATTGGCTACCAATGTTTTGTGTGTCATGGCCATGAAAGGCAAGAACTATGGGATGGGGAGGTATCGATCTTCTGGGTATCGCCCGGGCTTGGTTGATACCCTGCTCCCCCGCCCTGTTTCTTAGTCTCCCGAAAATGGAGGAAATCCAGTCGATCTGTAAAAAACTCTCTAGGCGCAGTCTTCCAGCTTTCTGCGCGTATCGGCGAACTTGTAAGGCGCTTTATGCACACATGTGTCTCCTCTTCCACGTCGCGTCCACGACAGATGGTCCGCGCCAGCGAAGTTGACGGCGTCTGGCTAAACGATGTGCACGTGAGCGGTGTCTTCGTGCGCCGCGAGCTACGCTCTCTGTGCGCCGACTCCGAGCCCGCGGCCACCATGGACGACTTCTACGTGCTCCTGAGTGTGCTGCTGTGCAACCTACCGCGCGCTCGTGGCTCCAACCTGAACCGCGACTGGTTCCAGCACCGGATCAACGACCTGGTCGAGCTCTTCCCGGGAGTCTCGGAGCCCCCTCCCGTGCCCCTGTATGGCGAGGAGCAGGCGGACGCCATCTCCAACTTCGGCGAGAAGTGGCGCCACACCAGGGCGGCCCTCTGCCGCGCCCTGCTCAGGAGCCGCTTCGAGGTGCGCGTTCTACTTTACAATGTACGAGGCTGTAGCATGTTTCCAGAGTAACGATGGCGTTCCTCTTCTTGGTGAACTAGACTACATCTTTTGTTTCTACCAGTATGTGCGCTGAAATGTGACTGCATTTGGGGCCTTTTTGTGGTGTGTGTGGTTCCTGAGAATGTACTTGGCTGTAGCTGCGTTATGTGTGTCTAGAGTATGAAGGGCGTCCAACTTTAGACTGTGTCATCCTGTACAAATACGTCCATCGTAAATCGTGGCAAAGTAAGGTGGTACTGTTCCACGCGCCCCTGAAAAGCACACGTTGAGGCACGTCTTCTGGCCTATAGCTGGGCCGGAAGGTGTAGCATGTATGCCTAGATTAGCGGTCTCAAACACGCGAGCCGTGGGCCCCATGCGGCTCACACAGAATTGTTTTTTTTTCATCGAATGGTTTCTTTTTAATATGCTAACTGCACAAGCATAACTGGGCTTAAACATAATAAAGAGGAAAAAACAGGATTTCGAACAGGCTACTTAACAACGACCGAAATTCGTGCCATCAATCAGGTTAGTGAGAAATACTCGGAATGCACCGAACCACTATACATAGTCTTCATAGATTACGAGAAGGCATTATATTCACTAGCGAGACTCATCAGACACTGCGAAATCAGGGCGTTGACGAAACAAATGTAAACATCCTGGAAGAAATGTACCCACTGCAGGATCAACTGCCACCATAGTGCCTCATAAAATATCCATAAAAAATTGGCAGATCCCACGTACAGTGAGAATCGATGATATGCGAAGCAGGAATGAGGAAGGTTATGTCACAATCACAACGTTACGAGGTGGATGTAAATAACGCCCTACATGACTTCCGTGTCAAGATTAACATGTTCAAATGTGTCGTTCACCTTCGTCATCTATTCACGTCACGTGATACCAAATTTAGTATATGTGGAGCAAGCGAAAGTACCGCGAGCACGCTATGAGCGTGGTATGTTGTCATGTTGTTTCATGACACGCGTGCCAAAATTATCATGTGAACCAGTCATATACTTCCGTCCATCGATGTACCGTAACACCAAATTTGGCAAATTTGGAACTAGCAAAATGGCCGCGAGCTCATTATGATGGGCCCATTATACTCCAATGTAGCGTTGGTGCGCGCGCACGCTGGGCACAGCGATGATGATGATGAAAAACATTTATTATAAAAGAGAGAAGAGAGAGGTACGGGGCCAAAGCATGACCCTGCTACATGGTCGGCGTCCTTAGTCCGGGACACCGCATGACGAGGCCCCTACTCGCGCCCGTCTCACTAGAGCCCGTTGAGACTCTAGTGATGAGCAGTTGAGGAGGGCAGTCTCCCATGCCTCTCGGGAAGGGGTAGGGGAAGGGGGTAGGTGGGGATTTTTCGGACATGCCCATACCATGTGGAAGATATCACCACGTCTCCCACAGTATGGGCACCGCCCATCTGTGTTCGCATCGAAATGCTTTAGGATTGCAGGACAGAGTAGAGTACCTGTCTGCAGGCGCCTTAGAGTTCGCTCTTCCGCCTTACTCAACCCCTTTGCAGGAGCCGGGTAAAGGCGGTGAGTGTCACGATAATAAGTCAGAATTTCTTTGAACCGCAGCAGCGGTGTATTGGCCTCCGAGTCATAAGAGCCAAGGTGAGGAGCCCGGTGGGTAAGCGCTCGGGCGGCCGCGTCCGCGGCCTCATTACCTCGTAAGCCCTGATGGCCAGGAGCCCATACGATGCGTTCGGGGCTGGATCAGCGAGAGCCCGTTTTAGAATTTGGCTGGCTAAGGGGGATATCTCTCCTACAAAGTAATGAGTACATGCTTTCCTGGAGTCCGTGATGATAACTTTCGAGTGGGGTCCGCAGCAGCAAGCGCTATCGCGGACTTCCTCAGCGCGCTCTGGATTTTGTGCTCGGAACGAGAGGCCATTGACATGCTTTTCCCGGTGAACTACAGAGGCCGTGTAAATCCCGTGGGCGAAGGCCCGGCTATATCTACGTAGAATACACCAGGTCGGGAGCAGTGTTGCCTCTCAAGCGTGCGAGCCCGCGCCTGTCTTCTGCTTTCGTGAGTGTGCTTATTCGTGTACTGGGGAGTGGAGCGACTGAGAGCATATGCCGCCCATAGTTCCGGAATACGCTCGCTCCCTCTGCAGTGCAAGTGTGCTGTCTATGTAAGCAGCTTCAGCAGGCTGGCGCGGGAGCGTCTGAACGAGCCGCGTATATTGATTCATAAGGGGGCCTCCCGCAACTCTGGTAGGAGTTGAGCACACCTAACGCCCTTAGTTTGACGTTGGAAGTGGCCCCCGGGAGATCCAGAGCTCGTTTAGTAGCCTTACGAATGATGGCATCTATTCTTTCGTCTTCTTGCTTGTTAGTGCGAAGGTATGGGACGGCGTAGAGGATCCGGCTAGTCACGAAGGCATGCGCGAGCCGAAGCGCGTCCCTGCCCCGCAGACCACCCCGCTTGTTGGAAACGCGGTGGATCATGCGACCTACCTGTTCGCCCATTCTCTTAAGTTTCGCTATAGTGGAGTCCGGTCTAAGTCTGTGGTGAATGAACAGGCCCAGAACCCGGAGCTCCTCCACCTCTCTGATGGGAACCCCAGACAGGGAGATGTGTATGGCTGACTTATCTCTTGGCTTCGCTCTAACGTGCAGAAGCTCTGATTTGTTTGGAGCACATTGGAGTCCACAATCGTTGGCATACGCCTCGACTATGGATGCGGCCTGCTGAAGGCGTTCCTGCATTTCACCAAGGCTCCCTTCAGTGGTCCAGATTGTAATATCGTCGGCATATACTGCGTGTTGTGTGCCTTCTACCCTGGCCAATTCGCATCATGAGCGTGGCATGTAGTAATGTTAACAAGACACGAATCTCACGATTATCATGTTTGCACCAGTCACAAACCTTCATTTTCTATTCACGTACCGTAATACCAAATTTGGTAAATGTGACGCTAGCGAAACGGCCGCAATCGCATCATGAGCGTGGAACGTAGTCATGTTGTTACATGATACGCATGTCATGATTTTCATGTTAAAGTCTGTCGCTTTTGTTCGCCATGTATTCTTCTCATACCATACCAGTTTTGCGACATGCTATGGGAACAAAACCACCGCAAGAGTGGCAGGACCATGAAATGTAAATCATGACATTCATGACACACATGTCATGATTTTCATGTATACTAGTCAAACATGTTTTTCGTACAGTCATGGTACGTCATACCAAGTTTGGGACAGACAGACATACAGACAGACAGACAGACAGTCAAGATAGATAGATAGATAGATAGATCGATAGATAGATAGATAGATAGATAGATAAATAGATAGATAGATAGATAGATAGATAGATAGATAGATAGATAGATAGATAGATAGATAGATATATAGATAGATAGATAGAGATAGATAGATATAGATAAAGATAGATAGCTAGATAGATAGATAGATAGATAGATACGCTCAGTCACCGAAGACCCTAACTTGAAAGTTATCATCACGGACTCCCGGAAAGCATGTGCTCATTACTTGACAAGAGAGATATCCCCCCTAGCAGGCCAAATTCTAAAACGAGCTCTCGCTGATCCAGCCCCGAAACGCATCATATGGGCAAATGGCCATCAGTGCTTACGAGGTAATGAGGCCGCTGACGCGGCCGCCCGAGCGCTTACCCACCGGGCTCCTCACCTTGGCTCTTATGACTCGGAGGCCAAAACACCGCTGCTGTGGTTCAAAAAAATTCTGACCTATTATCGCGACACTCACCGCCTTTACCCGGCTTCTGCAAAGGGGCTGAGTAAGGCGGAAGAGCCAACTCTAAGGCACCTGCAGACAGGTACTCTACTCTGTCCTGCAATCCTAAAACATTTCGATGTGAACACAGATGGATGGTGCCCACACTGTGGGGAGACGTGTGATATCTTCCACATGGTATGGGCATGTCCGAAAAATCCCCACCTACCCCCTTCCCCTACCCCTTACCGAGAGGCATGGGAGACTGCCCTCCTCAACTGCTCATCACTAGAGTCTCAACGGGCTCTGGTGAGACGGGCGCGAGTAGGGGCCTCGTCATGCGGTGTCCCGGACTAAGGACGCCGACCATGTAGCGGGGTCATGCTTTGGCCCCGTAAATGTTTTTCATCATCATCATCACCACCGAAGTTCACTAAGAAATGCTTCGCATTTAAAAGCTTTAGAATAACAATAAAGAAGGGTGTAAGACAAGGAGATACGATCTCCCCAATGTTATTTAACGCGTTTCTACAGGAAATTTTCAAAGGGCTAGAAGGGGAGGAGTTGGGGATAATAGTTAATGAGAGTACCTTAGTGACCTGCGCTTCAGCGATGACACTGCATTTCTGAGTAGGGAGACGAATTGCAATTGATGATTACCGAATCAGACAAGGAGGGCTGAAAGGTAGGTCTTGAAAGTTAATATGCATTACGGCAGTGTTATGATTCAAAGCGTTCTTCACAGTAGCTGTTTTGCGTATACCCTTGACAGTGACTGCCCGCAGAGGCAAACTGTGCTCAAAGGTCAGTTACACGCGTGTCCATTTTGACATTGTTCTACTTCAAGGTGCAGTGGGTGTTACCCGTACCACGTATGCCCCGGTGTTTGCTGAACATGAAGGTAGCGTTGTTTGTGCGTATATTCAGAAGTTGTTCCTGTAACCAGTTTTACCACGCATGAGCCAAGAGTCGCGCAGGTGTTGTAGTCACTCATTTCTATACTGTACAAACGTCGCGCAGGGCCCCCATGCGGCAGGTGCAGGAGTACGTGTCTGCGGGCTGCGCTTCGCTGGCATGGAAGCATGTGCAGCTGACCTGGAGTTCCTTCATGGCCGCAACTCTTGGGTCTTGGACCTCATCCCAGAGCTGCGCGCCAAGGGTGACCAACTCCAGGTATGGTATATCTATACGAACGCCGTGGCGACAAAGCGTATCATGTGGTTGCCGTTGCGATCGGACGTGAAACCGCCACTCATCGTCTCCCAAGACCGCATGTATGCATGCTTCTCGAGCAACGCCCTCTTTTCTCAGAAGGATACATCAAATAATGAGAGAAATGGCGTTCAGATCCTCCGGTAGACCTGACAGAGACTTGAACTCTCGGACGCGCAGGCGTTCCTGAAGGCGTACCAGCGGTTGGGTGCCGACGGCCCCTACATGAAGCTGCTGCACCTTCCCGAGGCGGCCCCAGCCAGTCGCAAGCGCTGGGCCTGCACGTGGCGGCCCGCGTACGCCTTCGCCGTGCTGGAGGATGACAACCTGGCTCCAGTACAGGGGTGTGCCCCGGGACGAGGCCGAGGAGGCGGTGCTGGCCAAGATTATGGCCATCAAGCGCATGGGCCTCGGCGCGCCTCCAAGGAATGGCCCGTCGGCCGTCGCCCCTAGGGACGACGACGACAATACGAGGGGCGTGGACGTCGCCGCAGCGGGCGAGCCCGCCGCCCACGCGTCGGCGAGAGCGCTATAGACGTCCACGGCAGGCATGTTATCCCGTACCTTGTATAACGCTCCAGAACTCTTAACAACTGTATACGGAGTACGAAGGCTTTCGGTTTCTTTGGGGGCGCGCAGGTATATAGTCTCGTAACCATTCGGAGAGGGATCCGCTTGCTATTCCCGCGCTGTTCTTTCCATCCGCCATGGTCTGCCAATTAAGGCACCATACTGGCAAATCCTGCGACGAGACTTCAAGCAATTTTCAAAGTGCCCGGAATGAACCAGTCTGTTACAGTGTGCTTCATGTCGCACTGGTTGATGCGTTGCAATTGACGAATAAAACGGCGCACAACACAGTATCGGACATGTGGACGTAATGTCGTGTCCCGTCAGAAGCGCTGTTTTGTTTGCCTTCTATTAAGTACTTCGTTGGCTTAGCTAGCACACAGATTAAGAGCGTAAGGAATTGCTATGGCAAGGTATACTCGCACCGCCGTATCGCGGCCGCTTCTGCTGCTGTATCAGCTTTAGAACGACAGAAAGTTAGTACGGATTTGTGATAAGAGTGCCTCCAGGCGTTGTCTGATGTATTGATCCATTCCCCTTTGCCGAGCCCAACTGCTACAATCAACGGGCTCCCAGCAAAATTGCAGCAAAGAAAAAAGCAAAACAAGAGGCCAAAACTTTTGTGTCAGCACATTTTAAAGTTTGCCATCGAAAATTAGATGGTTTGCAGCGACTGTGTAGTCAGGCCGTTAGAGGTCTACTGGCTTCACCTGCACTTTGTGAACTGGTTTCATGGAGGCACTGCACTCCCATATTAGTTTGAATCGTTGCAGGAGTGAAAAAGGAGGCGGCACCACGGTATTCGTGCTGACATAGTGAAGCCTTAGCGCAAGGCTAGTTTACCGGTTCCCTGTGCCTCCTCGTGATGTATACTGGCTGCAGCTGCAGCAGACGACACAGACGATTGCATTCGTGTCGTGTTTTAGCAGCGTCCAACGAGTACGACAGTGAACGTTCTCCAGTATAGTGTCACATGCCGGCAACGTATGCGACACCGTCTTTCACGAATCCCAGCCGCCTCAACCCGAGAGATGGCCAACCAGTAGCATAAAGTTTCGCCACATCTGCACTATCGTGCCCGTTTTCTCATCTCGTTGCTGTTGCTCTTGCTGAAATATAAGCTTGTACGAAGACGGCACTCAGATGGCAGCACCATAAACACGTTCAGAAAGTGCAGGGGGAATCAAATAGATCGTATATAGGTGGAAGACGGATGCATTCAATGCGTTTCATAAAGAGTTTGTAAACGTTTTTGTTGCCTAGAGGCATTCTGTATCATGTGAAACTGTATTGTTCTTTATTCGCATGCTTGATGCTTTATTGTTTTACATGCATCAAAACCATTTGCATGCATACCGAATGCCCAAAGGAGTAAGAGCCTCTGTCAGGCCACATGGCCTGCAGCTCTTGCTCCTCTTTCTGTGAAACGAAAGAAATAATAACGAAAGAAAGGAGAATGTGACGTTGTACAAGTCATTGCAAAGTGGTGGTCGCCAACGGTGGGCAAGGTTTATAGGCGGAGATTTCTAGAGCTCGTCTAGCAGTGAAACATTAGCCAATTTTTCACGCACACACATGCACTATAGACTGTCTACTTATTCGCCGAAAAGCGCAATTTGGTGGGTGACCATGTCATGGCCCCTTTAACACGCAGGCGCAGCCACGGCTGAATGACGACGACGCGCTCCGCAGAAGCGCCGGCGCCACGGAAAGAGTTCGATCACGTGACGTCGCGCCAACGGCGAGTGGCAACAGGGGGAAGTACTCGGAGAGACGCCATCGCTCCGAGAAAGCACCCGAACAGCGACTTGAGAGCTCCCCCAGGCCCCGTCACCAACGTGGTCCGGCCCTCGTCCGTTGCGTGGTGCCAACCTGGACGTCGTCGTATGCCGTGGCCAGTCTGGCGATTAGCCTGCCGTCGCCCGACGTCGACGCTGGACCCAAGTCGCGGTCTCGCGTCAGGCGGGCAGGGACGGGCGTGGACGGGGACAGTTTCCACGCTCCGTGAGCGTTTGATTGGACACGCCCCCACGACGCCTCGAGGCGCCGTGGGTGAAACTTGCTGTTTAAGGCGCCGTCCCACCACCGCGGTGAGCAGGGAGGCCTCCATGACGCGGGAAGTGTGGTGGGGAGGCGTCGTAAGCGGAAAAATATAACGTTTTTAGTTTTAAAAAGTGTCCGTGTCATTGGATGGTGTGATGGCTTCGGGCTTTGAGGGTAGAAGGCGCACGCAGCATGCGTTTGGTGGCATTGGCTATATAGTGTGCCTCGATGCGTGCCCCCCCCCTGGCCCCACCTTCCATTTTCTTTCAGCTTGTGACCGTAACTTTGAAAGGGGCGATGCCGCCGCGACGCCATTTCTTGTCCGGCGTCCTCTCCGACTCTCGACGGAGTCGCTGTTATAACGGTTAGACGCCGGCAAGACGCCGTGGGCTAAGATATGACAGCTGCGCCGCAGTAGACGCCGTATATGTGCTCACCCCGAAGACCTGCTGATCCACACGTGCGTGTTACAGCGTGCCAGTGCTTGGCTTTTCGTCGCCCTGCTACGCCTTCTTCCCACGGAGAGAAAGGGCCCACGCCAACGCGAAGCTACGCGGTGCCGCGCCAAGAAGCTAAGCGCTGGCGGGCTGCAACGCGTACAAATGGTCAGCCGCAAAAAAAAAACGGTGTACATGTATTGTAGTTTTCTTTGCAACATCTCGAAACTCGCACGCGATCCAGCAGGAGATCAGGAACGAATCTTGATCGTGCTCGCTCATTTAAAAGGAAGTAGTGATAAGCCAAAAGCTATCCGGCACATACAGAATATTTGGGAGACAAATCGCCATGTAAACAAGAGAAATTGCGTAAAAGAAGTAAACGAAAGATTAAAAAATCCTAACCCATGCAAGCCTTGAAAAAAGGGACGAGGAAAAATTCTGAAGACAATCTGGTTTCTTCCAAGTCGGTGGTGGTGGTGGTGGTAAAAAACATTTATTTCAGAAAAAGTCTACTAGAGAGTGCCGACGTGGCCCATCGGCATGCTAGAGTGGCCAGACCCTATTCAGGGACGCCAGTGGAGCTGGAAGCTGCCCGTGCACGCTCCACCAAGGAGCGTTGCGCAGCCAAGGTAGAGCAGCCGAGCAGGTGCTCCTCCCAAGCCTCTCTAGTTGGGATAGGAAAAAGGGATGAGAAAGGAACGGGATTAACTGGGCACGATGCTACGACGTGATATGTGTCGGCGAGGACATGACAGGTCGAGCAGGTGCCATTGATTTCTGGCAAAAAGTGCCTGGCGACCGCCGGACTGATAAAGGTTTAGTCTGCAGGCGGCGTAGCAGTCGTTCGTCCGCTTTTTCCAAACCGCGTGCGGGGTCCGGGTAGAGGCGGCGCGAAGCCCGGTAATAAGCCAAAATTTCGCGAAAGTGCGTCAGGTTGGTATTGCCAGATTCCGTCTCGGGACATGGAGGGGCAACGGCCCAGACAGGAGAAGCGCGGGCAGCGGCATTTGCCGCCTCGTTGCCGGGCAGGCCCGAGTGGCCTGGGGTCCAGACTATACAAATGGGATGAGGGTTAAAGCGCCAAGAGGCTGCCTGTAGTAGGCTAGCCGCCAGCGGGGCAATGGAACCCTGAAGGTACTGAGAACAGGCCGAGCGCGAGTCCGTCAGGATGGTGCGTGAGGCAGGGTGAGAGGCGGCCAAAGCTATGGCAACCTCTTCAGCGTGCGTTACTGTGTCTGCTCTAAAGGAGAGGTCATCGACGTGTTTGCCCTCTGTAATCACGGCAGCCGTGAAGTGACCCGAGGGGGAGGGACCCGAGACGTCCACGTAGAAAACACCAGGACGATCGGAGTGTCGCGTATGAAGGGCCGCGGCGCGTGCTAGTCTACGGCCAGGATGGAGGTCGGGGTTCATATTACGGGGTAGAGGTTCCACCCATAGCTTTTGACGCCAGAGCTCTGGTACCGGCTGCAGAGGGTCTTGGTCAGATATCGGGTTAAGGCCAAGTCTGTGTAGAAGACGGCGCCCTGAAGGCGTCTGCGACAGTCGATTGATTTGGTTAACGCGATGAGCTTCGCGCATCTATGCAAAGGTGTTGTGTACCCCCAGAGCCGCGAATCGGCTGTTGGAAGTTGCAATAGGTAGGTCCAGAGCGCGTTTGTATACTGAACGAAGAAGGACGTCCAGCTGGTGCTCGTGTCGACGACGCAGGCGAAGGTAAGGCAAGGCGTAGAGGACGCGACTGGTCACAAACGCGTGGGCCAATCGGAGGGACTGAGACCCGCGGAGGCCGCCGCGCTTGGTAGACACTCACCGTATCATGCAGCTCACCTGCTCGCTGGTGCGTCTGAGGCCTGCTATTGTGCCCTTTGGATCCAAGGACGATGTGAGGTGAAGGCCAAGAACCCGAATATTTTGCACTGACGGGGCGGGCCCGGACGGAAGAAAAATTTTAGGCGGCGGTAGCGCAGAGACTGAAAGAAGAGCCGATTTAGCTGGAGAGCACTCCAGGCCGCATGAACCAGCGTAGGTATCCACCAGAAGGGCAGCCTTTGCAGGCGTTCTTCGATTTGCGCTAAGGAGCCGGTGTTGGTCCAGATTGTGATATCGTCCGCATACAGTGCGTGTTGTATTCCCTCGACCTCGCTTAGAAGAGGGGAGGTTCATCATCGCCAGGTTAAAAAGCAGAGGAGACAGGACTGCCCCTTGAGGTGTACCCGCGTGCCTAATAAGTACGAGCCGTGTTCGGTAGAATTAAGGCGAATGAAGCGGTGCGATGTGATAGAAAGGCGCGAATGTAGTTGAAAGTCTTCTGCCCGCAGTTGTGGTAGACAGGTTAGTGAGTATAGTGCTGTGTTTGACGTTGTCGAACGCCCCGCGGAGATCGAGAGCGAGCACAACTTTATCATTATGGCGCATAGTAGTCGGCTCTATGATATCGTGTTGAAGCTGGAGCAGGACGTCCTGCGCCGACAGATGCGGGCGAAAGCCAAACATCGTGTCGGCAAAGGTCCTCCTGGCCTCCAAGTAGGCGGAAAGACGTTCGCGAACCATGGTTTTCATGAGTTTGCCTGCGCAAGACGTGAGATGGGTCTCAGTGCCTCAATACTAACGGAATTTGCCGATTTGGGAATGAATGTCACGACCGATGTGGTCCATTCCGTTGGAAGCGGAGAGCCGTCCCATATCGAATTTATAAGGTGGAGTAGCGAGAGGTGTGCTTGGTCGGGAAGATTTGCCAGGAGCGATACTGTGATTCCGTCGGGTCCAGGAGCCGTGCCCCGTCGCATTTTCGAGAGCGCAAATCGTAAATCAGAAAGCGTGTATGGGGCGTCGAGGTCGGTGTTAGGGCGCCGAAATACGTATATGCTGGGCCTGTGGGATCAATTGTACGGCAGATGTAGCGGTCACAAAGTTCTCCGTAGTGCCCTGAAATCCGTAGTGATCCGTAGTGCCCTGAAAGGCATGTAGAACACGGTGGAGCTGGCGTTGCGTTTCTCCCTGGTGGTGGAGGGATCGAGAAGGCTTCTAAAGAGTCGCCACGCACTCTTAGAGCTCATCTGGTTCGCAGCCTTCGAACAGGTGTCTGCCTAGTTAGCATCGGAAAGTTGTGCGGAGTATGCGGCCGCCTCTGCAGTGAGCGCCTCAATGCGAGCGCGAAGTTTCCGATTAAGTTTGTTGCGTTTCCAGCGCCTTATGAGCCCGCGGCGAGCGTGCCAAAGATGTAGGAGGTGTGGATCGATTG